GTGGTGGGGGGGCTGGCCGAGGGCCAGTTCGGTTTNAAAAAAAAAAAAAAAAAAAAGGATTTACTCCCCTCGTCGTTGGACCACGACCCGTGGGGGAATCCCTATCGGGTCGTCATGCGGGAGCTCCGCGGTCCACCGGCTTCCGGTCAGCTGGAGGCGGAAGTGCTGGAAAGGCGGTCGACACGCTCTTTCCGACAAATCCGCTCCTGCCTCCCTCGGAATTCGGGGACGACGTGTCGGTGGAGGAATTCACCGCCCAGGAGGTAGCCGACGCACCGTCGCGAACCGCTGCCTCGCGGAGGGTGAATTCCCCACGAAGTGAAAGAAGGCCAGGTTCGTACTTCTGAANACGAAGTGGAAGAAGGCCAGGCTGGTGCTTCTGAGAAAGGGTGACAAGCCCGAGGGTCTCCCCTCGTCGTACCGACCGCTTTGCATGTTGGACGACTTGGGGAAGATCCTCGAGCGGCTGCTCGTCACCCGGATCGAAGCCCACCTGGCCGTGGTGGGGGGGCTGGCCGAGGGCCAGTTCGGTTTTAGGAGGGAGAGGTCGACGGACGACGTGGCCTCCCTCTTCAGGGACCTGGCCCTCAGGACCAAGAACGGACCGGGCTTCGGGGCGGCGGTGAGCCTGGACATCCGGAACGCGTTCAACTCCGTGCGATGGTCACACATCCTAGGAGCGCTGGACGCGTTTCGGGTGCCTCCTTACCTCGGGCGGATGATCCGGTCGTACTTCGGCGACCGGGTCATCACCTACGAGAGCGCCGCGGGCACTCCTTCGCTCCTTCGCGGCTTACCGTGCTGGGGGTGGACGTCCCGCCCAGTGATTCCATGACGTATCTGGACCTGGTCTTCGACAGATGTCTGATGTTCGAGCCCAGAAAGTCATGAACAGCCTGGCGGGGCTCATGCCCAATCTGGGAGGACCGAGTTGACTCGTCGTCAGCGTCGTTCACTCGGTCCTCCTGTACGNCTTACCGTGCTGGGGGTGGACGTCCCGCCCAGTGATTCCATGACGTATCTGGACCTGGTCTTCGACAGATGTCTGATGTTCGGGCCCAGAAAGTCATGAACAGCCTGGCGGGGCTCATGCCCAATCTGGGAGGACCGAGTTGACTCCTCGTCAGCGTCGCTCACTCGGTCCTCCTGTACGGGNCTCCTCGTCAGCGTCGTTCACTCGGTCCTCCTGTACGGGTCCCCGGTCTGGGCGGATATCCTCGAGTATTCGCCCAGGAACCGAGAAGCCCTGCTCCGGGTGCAGAGGCGGGCGGCGATCCGGACCGTGTCGGCGGGAATACTGTCGTCACTGCCGCCCGCCGACCTGCTAGCCGACCTTATGGGCCGCTGGTAATAAGCTCCGCCGAAAGCGCGGCCGGNCCACCATGCTCCGGTGGCGGGCTCGCCTCTCGGAGGAAACGACGAGAGGCGAGTGGACCAGGTCCCTCATAGGACCCGACCGCCTGGAGAGGTGGGTGGCCGGACACACAGTGAGATGTCTTACCATCTCACGCAAGTGTTGTCCGGCCACGGCTGCTTCAACGAATACCTTCACGGTATTCGGAGGGCAGCCACGCCGACGTGCGACCACTGCCAGGATCGCCCGGGAGAGGCAGACAACGCTCTGCACACCCTCTTCCGGTGCGAAGTGTGGGCCCAGGAACGGGACTCGCTGGAGTCCCGTCTGGGGTCCACGATCCGCGTCGGGTCCTTGGTGGACCTGATGTTGGGAGGCCGAGAGGCGTGGAGGCTCGTCCAGGCGTTCGCCGAATCCGTCCTGAAAAGGAAGAAGGAAGCTGAACGCCTGAGGCAGCGGCAGCCGCGCCGCCCGGTGCAGGAGGACCTAAGGCGCTGGTTTAGTCCGGCGACTTAGGTATTCGTGTTTATGTTTTATGTGTTTGTGAGTTTTTTTTTTGCCCCCTTCGCAAAGTCCTGCCCCCACCTTCACGTGGTGCAACCCGGGCAACGGATCCCGACTTTTGGGAACCGGCTAACGGGGGAGGCCACACCACGTTGTGAATCAGCCCGAAATTAATCAAGAGACGGCGTGGACCGCCCTGAGGTAATGCCTAACGGTAGTTCCGGGATGGCCCACATGTAGGCCGGTCGTGAAAAAAAAAGGATTTACTCCCCTCCCCGTTTCGCTGTGCTACAGTGTCGGCGTGATCGGGCTCTACGGGGCTACGAAAAGTCGGCACGGGCGCAGTATACAGATATATGGCAACGCAACCAGTGTAGTTAGCCACTCACTGCCCGGAGGGACTAGCTATGAGGGCAGCCCCTCAGAAAATTATTTTATATGAATAATGGCGAATATGGAGGAAAAGGTTACTGCATCAGGGGATTTGGATGCCCCAGTGCCGGTGGTTGGTGGGGGGTGTACCCACCAGGTGTCGTTATCAAACGAATACACAGTCAATGCAGGAGTGTTGAGGCAGGCTTTTGCAGCCAACCACGGGGTTGGTACTGCGACTGCAGGGAGTGGTGGCGACCAAGCCGCTCCCACCGGTGAAACAGCCAGGAGGTCATTGGCGTCGGAAGACTTGGAGACTCTGGATAACGGATGCACTTTATTTAATGCGGATACACCACTGGATGTCCCAGCCAAGTCCTCCATTGTGGAGAGGCTGCGGAAGGCGTCGAGGGGTGGATCACCTAAGGCGGCACAGATTGGGAAAGCATTGGGGTCGGCGGACGACGTAGTGGCCAGTCTCGGGGAGGACGAGGATCCTCTTCACATTCACCACGGTGATGGGGTAGGTGTGTGAAACGGAGAGGACTTAGAATTCCCTTTTTCACCCTATTGTCGTGGCACAGTGAGAATATGGCATATTTGGGACAAATATAGATGATATATGTGTGATAATAGTGACTAAAATCACTATCATAAAAAACGGTCATGCAAATTTGTATATAGTGTTTAATTATAAGAAATTAGTAGATTATTCCAAAAGCGACATCAACTCCTATTTCCTTAAATATAACATGATTGATTATCTTTGATTTATAAGTGTAACAATATATTAAATTTCTTTGAATTTGACTTTGATGTTTGTTTTAAGTCCAGAGGTAATTTTTTTTTAATATTGTAAATTATATAAGCTTTAATTTAAGGTAAATGTGTCGAAAAATATTTCGAATACTAGGAATGACAACTGTTTTCTCATATTGTGTATTGGATCACAAATCATATATCTATTAATACAGCAGAAAGTTACATAAAAAAATGATCAATAAAATAAATCAAAATAAATGATTTATTTCTATATTTTAGTTAAGTAGAATAGTTGAACAAATGTGCAAAAACCATGTGTTTTTGTAAATTAATAAAAACCAAAAATAATTTATTTCGAATTATTTTAGTTAAAGAGATAATTTATTATTTATTTATTTATTTATTTATCATTAAACGGGCGAGCCCAATTACAATAAAATGTGGAGTATACAAATATATACATAGATAATGGTTGTTTTGAAAGTACAATATTATGTTATGATTAAATTACTAATTTATTAAGATACAATTTAAAAGAAATAACTGAATTACAAATAAAAACATCAATATTAAATTTATTTACATGTTGCATGAATCTATTTATAGGGGCATTCTTACTATATAAAGTACGCTGGAATGGCACATAAAAAGTATCAGTCTGCCTAGTCGTATGACCAGGAACTAAAAAAGATATATTTGACAATAAATCTGGACAGAAAATATAGCCATTTAAAAGTTTATAAAAAAAACAAATGTCATGTTTTGCCCTTCTGACTTGATGAGTATCAATGTTCAAATGTAATAATAATGGTTCATATGAAGTGCGAGGCAAACGTTGAATATTACATTTACTACTTATAAGTCTCAAGAAGCGATTTTGAATTACCTCTAGAGAGTGAATTGAANATGTAATAATAATGGTTCATATGAAGTGTGAGGCAAACGTTGAATATTACATTTACTACTTATAAGTCTCAAGAAGCGATTTTGAATTACCTCTAGAGAGTGAATTGGACCAGACGTATAAGGAGACCAAATTACTGAATTATAATCTAAAATTGATCTTACAAAAGCACAGTATATTGATTTAAGGGCTAGAGGATCATCAAAATTATTACAGCTTCGCATTATAAACCCTAACATTGAGGCATCTCTATTTTGAATATGGATATAATGGTCATTGAATGAAAGAGAAGAGTACAACCAAATCTTTCACAAGATTGACTCGATCTAACTCAACACCATTTAAAAAATATTTATTTAAAAAAGGCAAACGTTTTCTAGTGAAAGTAATAACTTTACATTTTGAAATGTTCAAGTATAAATTATTTTTATCACACCAATTACTTATATTATCAAGATCATCCTGTAGCAATTTGGCGTCAAGTGGAGTTTTAACATACGGAATAGTTTAACATCATCAGCAAAAAGTAATATATTAGAATTGATATCATAAATATCATTAATATAGATGTTAAAAAGAAGAGGGGCCAGATGGGAACCTTGAGGAACCCCGTTAGTTATAAATAGTTATAAATTAGTTATAAATAAATTTATAACTAATTATTGAAAAATGTAGTAGCAATTTTAATAAATTAACTGCAAAACGTCAAAGCTTGTTAATTTATTAACTTAAATTTAGTTTTCAATGACATTTGAAACAAAAGAAAACAAGTTTTTACTAGTATTTTTAGTACAATGATGGCATTAAAATAATTATATAAAAACTATTTACTACGCCTTTTTCAATAATTAAAATGTTTACTCATTTTTAAATAAGAATTTTTATACAGGGTGTTCAATAAGTCAGGAAACGGGTTTCTATTGTTCTCATTGTTACAAACAATGAGAACAATAGAAACCCGTTTCCTGACTTACTGAACACTCTGTATATTAAAGACAACATTAAATTATTAAACGATTTTATTGCTATTTTAAAAATACTTTTTTGTATTTTTTTTTTTTTTAAATGACTTTTTTTTAACACTAAAACAACATAGTATTGTTATAAAATAATTAAAATTCTATAAATCTATCATTTCAACAGTTTTACTTATAAGTTTTATTCGAATACGTCAATTTATCAAACCAATAATGTATTTCTTCTTTTTCACTATGATGTATCTAGCGAGTAGTTTATTAAACGCATTTCTTTTCCCTGTTCCACCATTCAAAGAGGTAAAATTATATTATTTAATTTTTAACAAAAGTAAATTGTAAAATTTTTTCTAATTAAAAAATTCATTTTGAGAAATATCAGAATGTTTATTAATAAGTAGATTATTTTTTATTTTATCTTAAATAGATATAACATTTTTACACAACGTAACAAATTTAATTCAAATTTGATTTTAGAATAAAAAAATTTGCTATAGTTTTATTCGAGGATTAATATCTCATGAAAATGAAGTATTGAGTTATTAATTCGATTATTAAAATGTAGCTCCCACTTTAATTTTAAACTATGGTTACCATACAAAATAATAAAAAAATTAGCGGATTTTTTTTTTTTTTTTT